TAACCCTTCTAGAACATGGTTTGAATTAGCGTCAGTCAGTCAGTCACGATCGTCTGTCAGTCAGTCACGATCGTCTTAGATACTTTTTAAAATGTTTCGGGTTGGTGATTTTCTGGCGTACGAGTCTCCTCGCATTGAAAGATGAATACTGAAAATTGCAGGAAAATGATTGTAATAATTCGAATGCTGTTTTAAAAAATTGAGGCCTTGGGGTGAAACGGACACCCCTTGCCCAGATAAGGGTTAACAGCCGCCAACAGCAATTGTTACTGAAAGGCGGAGGCTAAACACTCCTCGCAGCCGGAGACAATCGTGCTTCTGTTCATCGGCAATATATGTATCTAGCGAGGAAATGCATCACTCTTCTGCATGTTCTATCTAGGCAAGGAGAGTATCGATTCAGGACGCACAACCTGTTCCAATGCCACGAGAAGTCTCATTTTCCTCATTGAATGACAACTTTACAGTTTTTCCCAATTGCTAGAGCCCTATTTCATATCTTGATGGACATTTTTCAAAACTTAACGTACGATCCACAAAACTCTGCGCTCTTTTCTCATATCCGTGCGTCCGTCAATCAAAAGTGCGTCCTCTTATCAAAATCAACGTACGCTCTTCAATATTCTAACGTACGGGGTAAGGAATGTCTATAGACAGTCGAGAAGAGACCGCGAAAATAATTATTCTGAAGATTCCCCTAATCTCAATATGCATTCCGGTTACAAAAATATCTCTTTAGGAGGCTGGAATAGAAGCAGAAAGAGTCCCTTTAGTCTGTTTCTCTCATTTTTAAAACTGAAGTTAACGTCATGCGATGAAATGCATAGTTCGGGACCTTTAGTATTCCTTCTTGTCATAGATTCCTGGCTAATGTATCATACCGAAAGAAAATAAAAAGACGATCATGTGTGACTGAGGGGAAAACTCCTACTCTCCTGAAACCATGAAGATATATTGATAATATAAACGTGGATGTCACTGCTTCTAGAATGGAAATGAAAAGAAATCCACTATAACGATTTGTAAGCAACAATAGACGCAAATTATAATGATAGGTAAAAATGATTAGGTTTCACATCGAAGAAACTTTAGGAACTATTCTCGCGTAGGGTCACGAAAACTTCTCAAGTCCAGACATGGGTTTCTCCTTGTTTTTCGAGCTTAATATTTCAAGTGTTTTCATGATCCGCTTCAATATAACCGTCGAGACTCCATGTTGGACGTACGGAATCGAGAAAACTATGTGAGATTCTCGCAACTATAGGCCAGGCTAGAGTTATGCACAATGCCCTCATATGCGTATCTGCGACTTCTCAACGAATGATGACTTTCAAAACTTAACGTACCCATGCCAAAACCGTACGTACTGTTGTCGAGATTCGATTTCCGCTCCCCAAAAGTCAAAACAGAAAGTCCTACGATTAATTTCTAACGTACCTAGAATCAAAACTTAAGGCACCTTAGTCAAAACTCTCAGGGCGATCCATTACTGTTGATGGGAAGGCAACGAGTCTCTCGGATCGATGCCCGCCCTGTCAACCGTACCTGGTCAAATCGACCAGAACCTCCCCTATGTCTTCCAATGGAGCGTACGTTACTTTCTGAGGCAAGGACGTTAAGTTTTGACACGAGGGCCTTAAATTCCTTCTAAAGGACACCAGCAATGTGTTCTATTGGAAAATTTGCTTCGGTGAAGGACGTTTGGCACGCATGCACGATGTGCTCGTTCCAATGCACTGACGTCTCTCTCTGCGATATTTGTTGTTCGTAAAATATTTTTATAGTTTTGCTGATCGTACAATGAGGAATTCGTGTCCTCGACTCCTTCTCTGACAACTTATACAATCCTGGCTTGGTTTTTGAGTGGATGTGTATACGGCGGGTGTTTCAACAGTGATCAACCAGGATCAAACCAGCATAGATTTACTCCTGTAAACCCATCGAATCGCCCATCGATATTATTTCGCATGAGATACGAGGTGCTATTTGAAAGCACACAAACTCCTCCCCCCCTCCCATTCTTCCCCTCTCGCCTTCGTTGAACGGAAATTTTGACATTTCTGCTCGTCAACAGATCACAGGTTCTGACGGTCGAGCCCATTACTATCTTTCCACACCCTAATAAGGACAGACTGTTCCTCTGAAAAGTCACTTGACTTGTGCCCTGATTCAAAAGGGTGCAGGGCGTTGTATCCGGTCGAAATCCCCTCAACGCGCAAATAGAGCGAGTATAAGTTGGAAATATTTGGAGATCATGATATGGGATTTTCGCAATGAACACTCATATCTACGAACAAAAATGGGTCCCAAGGTCATAAATATTTTGTAACTTATGATGAACAAAAATGACCATAAAATGACCTCTTTTCTCTCTTTTCAACCCTTTCCAGCTGATTACATTGTAACATAAATTAATCGTAAGTAAATACTCAGTATCGGATATTTTGGATTTCTCTGAATAGTTGTCAGCATTATTGCCTGCCAATTACATTGATGTATCGACGTAAGAAACTATTTCAACGTTTGAGAAGGAGCATTCAGCTCTGACAACTCGGGACGATGAGAAAACCTCTATGATTGGTTGGAAAGAATTTTGGAGGATAGAGATTGCTGTCGTCAGCCATGGATACATCGTCCGCACTCGTCGAATCGGTCTTCTTATCCTTTTACGTACGTTAAGTTTCGAAAAAGGTACGTAAAGATATTAAAATCGCGCTTCGTATTTCGATTTTCGTACGTTGGCAATGAAATCGGATGTTAAGTTTTGTGAAAAGTTTGCAGAGTTTTCAGATTTGTTCAAATAGTTTTGAAAACGGAAGTATAGTTTCGAGAAACGGACGTTTGCAATTGGGAAGAACGGTAAGGGATTTTCGGAAATTCCAGTTGATTGCCAAGGGCCTTCATCCATTGGACTCTGGATGAAAAACCAGAGAATTTCATTGAATTCTTAGACATAGTCACCTATAGGTAGACTTCAGAGTAGAGTGCATTGCAAAGGCTCCATTTACATTGACATTGCATAGCATTCAAACATTCAGCTATCATCCTTGCTGATATAAACGACATTCGAACTAAACTCCAGGGCTCTTCCAAGACGGGCGCCAACTTCAGAGTCACACAAAATTAACATTTTGTTTCGTTTTTAGTTTTGAAATGCAAACGCGGCTTCAGTTGACATGGTGAATCACCAGTTACAGTTCGAGAAATACTGTTCGAGGAGTTTTAATACCTTTAAGTTGTGCGAGATGAATAATTCATTATCTGAGAGCAGTGAGACCATTGCTTACTTATTACTAAGGGATGATGGTCACAGCTGGATTTTCACAGGAGAACCCATGATGTAGATCATCTGGATCGACGTAGGTGCACCTCTCTGAGCCAGAAGGATGACGTAAGTACACGAAATAACTAAATCATTGTTTTTTCGCTGTTCTAAAAGTGAAACGTCCCGTCTGCTCACAAGTCATAGCTGCTGTTTTTTAGACTGTAAGAAGGGTCATCGTTTTTTACTTGTATAAGGGGAAGTATGCTGAAGCTTACCAGAAAACATATAAAATGCTAAAGATAGAAGTGAAATTCCCTTTTGCAATATCTTCCTCGCTGGGAAGAGGAATTTGAATAGAGGAATCGTATATATATTTCAATTCCCTCAAGAATACTCCTTTTTTACTTCAAGTAGTGAAGCAAAGACATTCTCAAGAAGACAGTTTGAGTCGAAGACCAAAGGTAATTCCACCAAATGGACTCTGGATGGAAACACCTGAAAATTTCATGGAAGGTGTCATCCATAAGATGGCTTGGAATGCTAATGCCTAGCTAGGGATTGAATTGCATTGCTCATATTATTGAAGCACCTTCCTGGCTGGAGTCGACGTTTATATAACAGAACTCAGAAGTTAGTATATCGCTTTTGACTCATAAGAAATTGAGAAATCTTACAATTTTGCCGATTACATACAAGATGGGCCAAAAAACCTCCCCAAATTTGAAGCTTAGTGACTTGGGCTCCGTTGGGCCAACATCAATTGTTAAAAAAACCAAAATGAAGCTTCTTCGATTTTCTTTCGAATTGATTATTTAATGTTAGGGGTTTGCTTCAGAGAAGTAGCCTACTTCAGTAGAGTAGTAGTTAAAGAAATGACGAGAAAATTTTTTTTTGAAGTGGGCTTTTCTCCAAGATCCTTTTCCTTGACAACGAATTTATTACTCACACGCACACAGAACCCTTTAATAATCCAAAAATGGTTCAATATGCCCTCCTCCACAATCTGAAACATCCTCATGTTACTCGCCTCATGATCGCATGATCTCTCATCAAAAACAGACGACAGCAGCAACGCGACGTTGAAAAGAACCCAGGAAAGCTGTTTTCAGGAAATTTTTTCGTCACTTTTTTAAAAACTGTAATAGCGGCCATTTCTCTGAAGTAAAGCCCCCACCAAAAAAGTATATAGGCCTATATTTCGAAAGAAATTGAACATGTTTCATTTTGCTTTAAAAAAAAATGTATATTGGCCCGACGGGGCCCAAGTTTTTAAGCTTCAAATTTGCGGCGGTTTTTTGGCCTACCCGGTAAATTCGGCAGGAGCTCGGTCCCAAACTCAGCTATTGAGCATGAATATGAAGAAAAGCCTTGTGCCGTACCGATTGAAAAAAACTTTTAAAGCGACTTCTTTCACCAATTATGGAACCGAAGGTGAATTGACACTAAAAATAGAACAAGAGAAATAATGAGGAACTTCAATGTCCTCTTCCCCCCACAATGGTAGTCCCAAGGAATTACCACTGGGTGAAAGGATGATGACTGGGAAGCATGAAAATTTCTCATGAGATCTGGTCTATATCGATGGGGACGGGTTGGTGAGAATTTCTTTATTTTCCTGATGCCATAACACGCTGTCCTAAACTTTCTCTTATTGCTGGTTTTGGTGTTTTCCCTCTTAAGATTTTATTTTAGATTAGATTCATTTGAAAGTTCGCAGCAGATGGAACAAGAAAATTTATTTGATCACCATTGCATCAGCTTCATAGATCCAGATGACTTCTGTAAGTGTGATAAAATAAAGGAAATGCATTATGACAACTAGAGCACCCGACCAAGTGCGAATGGGTATGCATATTGACTCTCACTTCCTCTGAAATTATTTCCCTAAACTGTATATCCTGTCACATGATGAAAATGATTAATCGGAATGCTGTTGTTATCTCTTAAATCAGATTTTATTCCACTTATTGAGTATTTTGAAAAAAAAATCAATTCATATTAGGAGGTACCTTCAAAACAAGACCCTGACTGGATACTTGAACACTTGCAGCACTGAGGAAAATTGAAATTTGCGAGAAATTTCTCAAAGCAACATGATTTGGATATTGTACAAATAGTTAAAATCAATGACAGGCCACGCTACAGTCGGTATAGGTTTATATGCAGCGTAACTGGATCAAATGGCCTCTCCTGCTAAAAACAAGATTTCAGTCAAACGAGGGAATTAAGAGATGAATCTTTTAAATGTGAATGGAAATGCGAAAGCACGAAATATGAGAAAGGAGGGAAAAACCATCCGCCTCGATGATCTTGATCAAAGTATCAATCTGAGCGCCCGAACGTTGTCACAACTTTCGGAAGTGAAGATAGAACTTATCACATACATCACAGCCTGATGAATCATAATATCAACTGTTGCCTCAATTCGCACAAGACTCCATAGATTTCGTAAGGTGTTGAAATATTCATGTAAGAAATACAAATTTCAAGCATCGTTTGGAACACCTTGCAGAAAATGGACGTCAAGGACGTCTTTTTACTTCAAGTTTGCCTGGAAGAAAATGCAATATGTTTAGTGCGATGAGAGTGGTCATAGAGCAGAAGATACGTGAAAACGACATGCATACCAAAGAGTTCCATAAATTGAGAACGTGTCTCCTCCCCGAGTTGTTCTATATCGGAAAGAAATACTGTTAACCCCACTCGGTCGGGCACAGAGATGCCAAGAAGGGGAAAAATGATACTCATTACCATAGGCTTCAAGAAAACCCTTCGTTCGATACGACCTCGATATCTCTGAAGAGAAGTACATATCAACCGGTGAAGCCATGTAGGAAGACACACAAATAATAAAAGGCTGTTCGTACCAATCAATTCCATGAATTCAGAAAGCTCGTTCTCCTCGAGTTTGTCTGTAACGGAAATTAAGTAAATTACATGAGGTACGGGGATGCAGACAGGGAGAAATGAAGTTGGTCCATACCAGTACCTTTTAAGAAACTCTTGGTCTGAATAAGCCAGGGTTCTTCGGGAAGAAAACAAATCACATAAAATAGCACAATGAAAGAAATACACAAAAAATATTTGACCCTTTAAGATACTGGGTTTCGAAATGCCTAACAGAGACTGCATGAATATTTTCCTATTTTATTTTGTCCTTGCCTAGGTATTCCATGCCTACAGTGCTACAGACGTGTCTTAACAACGATTTTCGGTATACATGTTTTCATATTCAATTACCGAAATAAATAGTCTCCCGAAATAAATAGTCTTTTGACGGTATTTAAAGCGAAAACCAAAAGTGGAAGCGCTGCCGAAATTGAAACGACTTATGTCAAAATTTGTGGTAAATTCAATTTGCGTATATACTTCACTCGTCTGAAGCATGCACCTGACTATTCTAGGTGCATTCTTACAGACATATTCGATACCGTTTTTCATAATTCATCAGGTTCATTATTCGGGCATGTCCCAGAGAGTCCTACAATGATCTCCATCCTAGGCAACAGACTCAAACTTAGCAGGTGGGATTCTAAGTCTATCTTAACGAAGCCGAGCGACGCAACCACTGCACCATGTATGTGGTTTATCCACTGTCTTTTGCCTATCGTCTTGGCCTGGAAGACTCCCCTTGAGCTTCTTTAAGGAGGCATGCGACAGACGTGTCGGAACCACCTGAATTGGGACTTCTTGATCACGATAAACACCTGATCGACGTGGAAGGTTTCATGGATTGTAGAATTCCTCATCCGATCGAGGAGCCTCACGCCAGCCAATCGACGCAGAAACCTCATTTTCGGCAGCTTGGATACGCGATCTGGATTTTTCGGCCATTACCCGAAGCTCATGATCATGAGGGGTGATTTATAAACCAGTTCCTAATTTCCGATTCGCATAAATCTCATTATGATAACAGTGCAGTAGCCAAATTTACACAGAAAGTATGGAAGACATGGGAGATTCATGTGGGCTCATTGATCAGAACTTGACATGTCCGATATGAGATGCATTTTCATTAATCACACGGCGCCAAACGGAGAGAATAAATTTGGGAATAACAGGGAAGATCGCCACCATGAGAACAGAATCCGTTTCTCCACGTTAATTTCTGTCGCCCGTTGGTGCATCTGGATTTTGTAAGAATATGCAGAAATACTGGTATAGAAAATGAAGCAATGTTGTTCAATACGAGATATTAAATTGTGAAGCTCATGGGAAGCTCTCTCTGGGATTGCAGATGAACATTTGTCTGGCAAGAGAGAACTTTTGCGGGATGCGCCCGCGGTGATTGGATGCTCGGAGTGGGCATTTCGACGGACCCTGACATCACTTTCCGATTCAAACTGCTTAAGAAATCTAGTATTTGTCTTACTGGAAGGATATTCCTGTTAGGCAAGTGCCGTCGATACTGTCTGCACACTTACAGGTGATTCGTTTAGCTTGAAGAATCATTTCACTAGGAACAATTTCAGCTCCTAAGTGAAGGACGCCATATTGCGTCAGCGCTGCCCCCTGAGTATTTTCCCATGATTCATCCCTTGAGCCCACACTAATCTCCCATGCTTTCTTAATGTTTTGGGAAAATTTGGTGACAATAATGTTTTTACAAGATAGTTATGCGGATTGGAAACTAAGAACTGTTTTAAAAATCACCCTGTAGGAGTGGGTGGGGAGATAAAACCGCTAAATAACCGAGAGTTTCACTTCCTTAGAAACTTCCGATCTGGCAACCACGGTTCGCCAAAGAGCTCCCGGAAATGTGCAAGCCTTAAATATGCGGTGGACGATCTAGTTTCCATGTTGCCCGTGACTCGAGATCCATACCCAGAGGAATGATAAAACAATGTAAGTTTTGACAGCCCTTAGTTTGAAATTATTGAATGATTTGCACCAAAACAAAGCATTTCCGAGGTCACGCTAAGAAGCAGTTCTATCAAGCTGAGAATTAGTGTCTCTGAGAGATTCCAGGCAGAACATGAATGAACTACAGCTTATTTCCTTTTCCATGGCGAAATCATCCAAAGATAATAAAAAATGAAATATTTCATGAATACGAGAAAAAACATTTACTCAACATGGAATCCCGTGATTGAAAACACCAAAGGTGCGACAATGAGGGAAATGAAAACGAATTAATTCAGGAAATTAACGAAATCATATAAACACACCTCCAAATACGGGATCAATTGTTCCTTGTGATCTGGAGGGGATAGGAATAAAATTGGCGACAGGTCAACAACATTGAGGGGTTAACAAGTGCTACCGAAGTCGTCTCCTAGTATCTCAAGGTAAAAATGAAGAGAAATGAGTAATGCATGAATGGTGTATGAGGAGGAGCGTCAAATGACGAAAAATAAAATAAAAACCCAGTTAAAACAAACCTTCACATCTCCTTAATCCATCAAGAGCGTTCCTCTTGAGCTGCGCTACAAAGAAAATAAACATATATTAGGACTATAAAAAAATTAAGTAAGATTGAAAATAGGCAAACCATACATAAAAATCGCAGAAGAATTTGTGAACGATTCATGCCGAGCTCAACTGCAATTTAAAAAAAAATCAAAGTGAAAAAGGAACGCAAAAAAAGAAACAAATTAAAAATATGAATACCTAAAATGGCGAAGAAGTGCTTCCTTCCGATGAATCCAAGCACCACTTCCAAGAATAAAAAAGTCAATTAAAATGAGCAGGGCGAGGATTGGAATAAACTCGGACAAACTCTTCTCACCGATGCTTCCCATGAGTTGTTCGCGTTCGTCCTCGTCCATACACGCTGTACGGCAAGAAACGTTAGAAAAAAAAAGACGCCGGGCGCGAAGACGAAGAAACCGGAAAAAACTCCTCATACCAATACTGCAAAGGAAGCGTCCGCGTTCGTCTTTGTCCAACAGCGCTGTAGGCAAGGAAAATTAGAAATTAAGGAACGCCGGGCGCGGAGACGAAGAAACTCGAAAAAACTCCTCTCACCAATACTGCAAAGTAAGCGTCCACGTTCGTCCTTGTCCATCCGCGCTGAAGGCAAGAAAAATTAGAAATTAAAAGACTCCGGGCGCGGAGAGGAAGAAACCCAAAAAAAATTCCTCTCACCAATACTGCATAGGAAGCGTCTACGTTCGACAGGATTTAATTCATCTGTACGGTCAGAAAAATTAGAAATTAAAAGACTCCGGGCGTGGAGAAAAAGAAACGAGAAAAAATTATCTTACAGATACTTCGTAGGAAGCGTCCACGTTCGACAGGCTTTAATTCATCTGTATGGTCAGAAAAATTACAAATTAAAAGACGCTGGGCGCGGAGACAAAGAAACCCGAAAAAAACTCCTCTTACCTATACTTCCCATGAGTTGTTCCCGTTCGTCCTTGTCCATCCACGCTGTACGGAAAGAAATATTATAAATTAAAATACTCCGGGTGCGGAGATGAAGAAACCCGAAAAAAATACTCCTCATACCGATAATACGTAGGAAGGGTCCACGTTCGTCATTGTGCATCCGAGCTGTACGGAAAAAAAAATTAGAAACTAAAAGAATCCGGGTACAGAGATGAAGACATCCGAAAAAAAACTCATTTTACCGATAATGCGTTGGAAGCGCCCACGGTCGTCCTCGTCCATTCTCGCTGTACGGCAAGAAAAATCAGAATTTAAAAGACGCCTGTCGCGGAGACGAAAAAACCAGAAAGAACTACTCTTACCGATGCTTCCCATGAGTTGTTCCCGTTCGTCCTTGTCCATCGACGCTGTTGGGCAAGAAAAATTAGAAATTAAAAGACGCCTCGCGCGGAGACGAAGAAACTCGAAGTAATTCCTCTCACCGATAATGCGTAGGAAGCGTCCACGTTCGTCCTCTTCCATCCGCGCTGTACGAGAAGAAAAATTAAAAATTAAAAGGCGCGGAGACGAAGAAACCCGAAAAAAGTCATCTCACCGATAATGCGTAGGAAGCGTCCACGTTTGTCCTGGTCTATCCGCGCTATGAGGCAGGAAAAATTAGAAATTAAAAGACGCCGGTGGCGGAGAAAAAGAAACCAGAAAGAAACTTCTCTTGCCGATGCTTCCCAAGAGTTGTTCACGTTCGTTCTCGTCCATCCATGCTGTACGACATTAAAAATTATGAATTAAAAGACGCCGGACGCTGAGACGATGAAACCCGAGAAAAGATCCTCTTACCAATACTGCGTAAGAACCGTCCACGTTTGACAGGATTTAATTCATCTGAACGATGAGAAAAATTAGAAGTTCAAAGAGGCCGGGCGCGAAGACGAACACACCCAAAAAATCTTCATTTACCTATGCTTCTCATCAGTTTTTCCCGTTCGCCCTCGTCCATCCATGCTGTAGGGCAAGAAAAAATTAGAAACCTAAAGACACCGGGCGCGAAGACGAAGAAACCCGAAAAAACTTCATTTACCTATGCTTCCCATGAGTTGTTCAAGTTCGTCCTTGTCCATGCACGCTTAACGGCAAGAAAAACTAGAAATTAAAAGACGCCGGGGGTGGGGGGGAGACAAAGAAACCCGAAAAAACTCCATTTACCTATGCTTTTCATGAGTTTCTCACGTTTGCCCTTATCCATCCACGCTGTAGGGCAAGAAAACAATATAAATCAAAGGACACTGGGCGCCGAGACGAAATAACCCGAAAAAAACTCATTTAACCGAAAATGCGAAGGAAGCGTCCGCGTTCGTCTTTGTCCATCCACGCTGTAGGGCAAGATAAACTAGAAATTAAAAGACGCCTGGGGCGGAGACAAAAAAACCCGAAAAAAACTCCTCTGACCAATGCTTCCTATGAGTTGTTCCCGTTCGTCCTCGTCCATCATCGCTGTAGGACAAGAAAAAATAGAAATTAAAAGACACTGGACGCGGAGACGAAGAAACACGAAAAAACTCCTCTTACAGATAAATTGTAAGAAGCGTCCACGTTCGACAGGATTTAATTCATCTATGAGGCAAGAAAAAATAGAAAGTAAAAGACGCCAAGCGCGGAGTCGAAGAAACCCAATAAATCTCCTCTTACCGATACTGCATAGGAAGCGTCCACGTTCGGCAGGATTCAATTCATCTGTAAGGCAAGAGAAATTTGAAATTAAAAGACGTCGGGCGCGGAGACAAAGAAGCCAGAAAAAAACTCTTACCTATACTGTGTAGGAAGCGCCCACGTTCGGAAGGATTTAATTCATCTGTATGGCAAGAAAAATTTGAAGTTAACTGACGCTGGGAGCGGAGACGAAGAAACGCGAAAAATCTTCTCTCACCAATAATACGAAGGAGGCGTCGACGTTCATCCTTGTCAATCCGCGCTGCACGACAATAAGAAATTAGAAATTAAAAGACGTCGGGCGCGGAGACAAAGATACGCAAAAAATACTCCTCTCACCGATGCTTCCCATGAGTTGTTCCCGTTCGTCCTCGTCCATCCTCGCTGTACAGCAAGAAAAATTAGAAATTAAAGGATGCGGGAGCGGAGACTATAAAACCCAAAAAAACTCCTCTCACCGATACTGTGTAGGAAGCGTGAACGTTCGACAGGATTTAATTCATCTGTACGGTTAGAACAATTAGAAATTAAAAGACGCCGTTCTCGGAGACGAATGAACCGGAAGAAACTCTTCTCACCGATATTGCGTAGGAAACGTCCTCGTTCGACAGGATTTAATTCATCTGTACGGTTAGAACAATTAGGAATTAAAAGACGCCAGGCGCGTTGAATAAGATACCAGAAACAACTGCTCTTACCGATACTGCGCAGGAAGCGTCCACGTTCGACAGGATTTAATTCATCTATAGGGAAGATAAAATAGAAATTAAAAGAAGCCAGGTGCGCAGAGGAAGAACCCCGAAAACATTCCTCTTACCGATACTGCGTATTAAGCGTCCACGTTCGACAGGATTTAATTCATCTATACGGCGAGAAACATTTGAAATTAAAAGACACCGAGAGCGAAGATGAAGAAACCAGAAACAATTCCTCTTACTGATTATACGTAGGAAGCGTCTACGTTCGTCCTCGTCCATCCACGCTGTACAGCAAGAAAAAATAGAAATTAAAGGACGCCGGGCGTGGAGATGAATGAACACGAGAAACTCCTTTTACCGATCCTGCGTAGGAAGCGTCCACGTTCGTCCTCGTCCATCCGCGCTGTACGGCAAATAAAATGAGAAGTTAAAAGACGACGGGCGCAAAGACGAATAAACGCCCAAAAAATTCCTTTTACCAACGTTTCCCTTCAGTTGTTCCCGTTCGTACTCGTCCATCCACGCTGTACGTCAAGAAAAATTTAAAAAAAGACGCCGGGCGCGGAGACGAAGAAATCCGAATAAAATTACTCTTACCTATACAGTGGAGGAAGCGTCCACGTTCCTCCTCGTCCATCCGCGCTGTACCACAAGTACAATTAGAAGTTGAAAGACGCCGGGCTCGGAGACGAAGAAACCCGAAAAAACTCCTCTTACCTATGACGCGTAGGAAGTGTCCACGTTCCACAGAATTTAATTCATCTGTACGGTAGAGAAAATAATAAATTAAATACCGCTGCTCGCGGAGACGTAGAAGTCCAAAAAAAACTCCTCTCACCGATACTGCGTAAGAAGCGCCTCCGTTCGTCGTTTTCCATTCGCGCTGTACGGAAAGAAAAATTAGAAAATTTAAAAGACGCCGGGCGCGGAGACAAAGAAACTAGGAATAACTCCTCATACCGATACTGTTTAGGAAGCGTCCACGGTCGTCAACGTCCATTCGCGCTGTTCAGCAAGAAAAATTAGAAATTAAAAGACGCCGGGCGCGGAGACGAAGAAACTAGGAAAAACTCCTCATACCGATACTGTTTAGGAAGCGTCCACGTTCGACAGGATTTAATTCATCTGGAAGGCAATAAAAATTTGTAATTAAAAGACGCCGTGGGCAGAGACAAGGAAACCCAAGAAACTTCTCTTACCAATGCTTCCCATCAGTTGTTCTTGTTCGTCCTCGTCCATCCGCGCTGTATGGCAAGAAAAATTAGTTATTAAAGGACGCCTAGAGCGGAGACGTATGAAGCCGAAAAAATTCATCTTACCGATACTGCGTAGGAAGCGTCCACGTTCGTCAACGTTCATTCGCGCTGTACGTTAAGAAAATTTTAAAAAAAGGTAAGAAGACGTTGGGCGCGGAGACGAAGAAACCCGAAAAAACTCCTCTTACCGATACTGCGTAGGAAGCGTCCACGTTCGTCCTCGTCCATCCGCGCTGTACGAGAAGTAAAATTAGAAGTTATAAGACGCCGGGCTCGGAGACGAAGAAACCCGAAAAAACTCCTCTAACCTATGCTGCGTTGGAAGTGTCCATGTTCGACAGAATTTAATTCATCTGTTCAGCAAGGAAAATAAGAAATTAAAAGACGCCGGGCGCGGAGACGAATAAATAATAAAAAAACTCCTCTTACCGATACTGAGTAAGAAGCGTCTCCGTTCGTCAACGTCCATCCGCGCTGTACGAAAAGAAAAATTAGAAATTAAAAGACGCCTGGCGGGGAGACGAAGAAACCAGAAGAAAACTCCTCTTACCGATGCTTCTCGTGAGTTGTTCCGGTTCGTTCTCGTCCATCCTCCCTGTACGGCAAGAAAAAATTGAAATCAAAAGACGCCGGGAGAGGAGACGAATAAACCTGAAAAATTCCTCTTACCGATACTGCGTAGGAAGCGTCCGCGTTCGACAGGATTTAATTCATCTGTACGGCAAGAAAAACTATAAATTAAAAGACACCAGGTGCGGAGACAAAGAAACCTGAAAAAACCCCTCCTACCGATACTGCGTAAGAAGGATCCACGTTTTTTGTCGTCCATCCCCGCTGCATGGCAAGAAAACATTAGAAATTAAAAGACGCCGGGCGCGGAGACGTATAAACCGGAAAAAAACTCTTATTACCGAGTCTGCGTAGGAAGGGTCCACGTTCGTCCTCGTCCATCCGCGCTGTACGGCAAGAATAAATGAGAAATTAAAAGACGCTTGGCGCGGAGAGGAAGAAACCCGAAAACCTCTTCTCACCGATTCTGCGTAGGAAGGGTCCACGTTCGTCCTTGTCCATCCGCGCTGTACGGCAAGAAAGAAAGTAGAAATTAAAAGACATTGGGCGCGGAGACGAAGAAACCGGAAAAAAACTCTACTTACCGATACTGATTAGGAATCGTTCACTTTCGGCTGGAATCATTTCATCTGTAGGCGATCAAAATCTATTAGGTTTTCATGTATTGTTTTTGGTCTTTTACATAAGGTAAAATATAAAAAAATTGTATGTTACCAAATGTCCCCAAGAGCCTCCCGGAATTCAGTCCTTCATATCTGCCTAGAAAGAGATTATTTAAGATCATATCCTTGTTTTCATGAATCCATTGGTGATATTGCTGTTTATACCAATTATATGTAGGAATTCATGTCGCTCTCTCCCCACGAGTTCGCCTGGAAGTATGGAATGACGACGTTAATGGTCTTGAATTGTCTAAAGCCCTTGTACAAGTGAGATATTCTCCGGATTTTTAATTTCTGTAACTGAATGACAATGACTCAAAAGAAACTCTTGTTACTAGTAATATAAAAGATTCCCTGTCGCACGCGCTTCGGAACTGCTTTAAGAACCAGCCATGCCTGTCTTAATCTATTGCTATTCCTATTCGGAATCTGTCCCATTTGCTCTGCGAACGCGGGAACATTCGGCCTTGCTACTCGGTACTTGAGAGCGATCGATATTAATAAAGGTCTCACGTGAGATTCTCTTCATCTGACAATCACCGACGCGAGGACCTTTCCCAGTTTTTTCATTCATTGCGTATGTATGAATGTATGAATGTATGTGCCTCCTGGTGCAATTGATATATGTCATTTCTCCAAGAATGTTACCTCCATAGCAGACATGTTGTCAAGGGTCGTTGAAGTCCCGTTTCTACCCTGTCAATCACTTGTTCTCCGTTAAGAAATAGTTGTACCACTCACGCACTTCCCATTCATTCATGCACATGTTCTCATATGTAAGTGGCTCTGACGTGATTGTTCCTACACATTCGGCGCCTTCACTCTTCTCTGAATTTTGGCAGCATTGAAACACTCGGCCACAGAAAATGAATCACTGATCGTTGTTCAGTTTTTGTGTTTGTCTGCAACGCTACCGTAATTTTGTCATGTCTTGGGCTCCCTATCCTCTTGTGGGAAATGATGAGATCAATGCATACTAGCATTGATGACTAACAATAGCACCTACCATCGAAATAATTTTTTTCTGGATGGGAAAAAAATGCAAGAAAAAATTATTGGCTCTTGTTTTCTGTTTCACCCTCATATCTCCTAAGCACGGTGGGAAATTATAATTAGGAAAGATCTCTGGTCGTGAAGGAATATACAGGGTAGGAGCAAAAGTTACTATGCAGTTCTTGTATAATGAGCATAGTTGTTTTGCTTATTTGGTCCTTTATGTTTCAGAGTAATATCTGATACTAGTGAACCGAAATACGGTCTTGGGACCGTGTCGAACGAGACCTTGAAGACTATACCGAACTCCTGCATACCAACTTCCCCGGAGTTTCATCAACAAGCATACGCGTTGGCGACGTAACAATCACCAACGTATACAAACCCCCACGTCCAAACGCGCACGATACGTCCTTGACAGTGAGGGGCCGTTAGTATGTATAATGGGACAGAAGGAAAAATAGGGGGACCCCAACACAATTAAGACGTCATGATAACATGTCCAAAAACGATGGCGTAACCGATTTTTCCATCCAACCCCTGCTGAAAAAACCTCATGAGAATCTCAAAAGGAAACCTCATGAGAATCTCAAAAGGAAACCTCATGAGAATCTCAAAAGGAAACCTCATGAGAATCTCAAAAGGAAACCTCATGAGAATCTCAAAAGGAAACCTCATGAGATTCTCATGAGATTTTCGGACAGAGGTTCATGAGAATGAACTCATGAGGTCTGAAACAGATATCTCTTGAGGTTGACTTCATGGGGTTTTCGCGTAGAGGCGCCACTTGCCTCGTGGCCCAATAGCCACAAAAAGTATATTGGGAATCCACTTGGAAGGTCCCGTGAGTCCTTAAATGCGAAATAATCATATACGAAAGAAGATATATGGTTAAACAACTGTCATTCATTCTATCATCAAAACGTCATTCTATCTTGTAGGCCAGAATTGTCTGAAGTCTCTCTAAACTGGGCTATGTCTTCGGACAAGTATTTTTAGAAAATCAAATATATTTGATTATGTTCACTGTAGAAATAAAAATGCATACAACTTGGTGAGTACAGGAGAGATGTTCCAATGAGATCAGAGTATTCATCCCATCAGAGCGGCTATACAGTCGCCATCTCGCAGCGGTTGTGCACTGCAGAAGAAACCTCATGAGATCCTCATGAGGTTTTCGAACAAGAGGTCTCATGTGGTCTCATGAGGCCTCGATCCTCAAGAGGACGTTTCGAAGCCTCATGAGGAACAGCACAGTTCTCATGAGAAGGGCATGAGATCTCGTTAAGTACCTCATGAGGATTACATTATGAGAATTTCCCCATGAGATATTCGGACAACCTCATGAGAAAGTTGTGAGATCTCATGAGTTTGTAGTGAGGTTTTTCCAGCAGGGACCCTATTCATTTCCGAATCCCGACTCGTTATCGCATCATACCTAAATAAATTCCAAATCGAGAAGACGTTTGAAAAACTGGCATGGATTGAATTGTTCCAGGACAACGCGCACGTGGTAATTTGATGATAATCGAGTATCGCATATGATGTGAATTGCTAATGACAGGAGATTCGGGGAAAATGGGGAAAATAAATACTCAATTGCTGTGACCCTGATTCGAACCGGAGCTTTTGCGACCAAAATGCAATGTACTCGACCGCTATACGATCATGGCTATCGAGTTTGATCCGATAATTTCGTACAAATTGCCTTATATGAAAAAACCACCCGTTTTCCATTCCCTACAACAGTCCATCCGTATTGTGCATTTATTTCATTTGAAGGAGTCGGCTCGCGGACTACCCTCCCCTCTTACTCCCCTCCCTGACTCGTCCTTGACTGTCAGGGGATCGTTGTCATGAATAATGGAACGTGTAAGAAAAAAAGAGCCCCATCACAATTACGACGTCACGATAACGTGTCCAAATGCATTGTCCTAGCCGATTCATGGAATATACCGATTTGATTTCTCAATCCCAACTAGTCATCGCGAAGTTCCATACCAAAATAATTTCCCTAACGTAAAATCGTTTCATAAAAGTACATGATAATGCAATTCATTGTGCACTCGATTATTCTATAACAATCGATATTCACTGAGTTCTCATGGAAAATTATAGCATCCGGAAGTTGATTGATATGAAATTGCGGTCAATTAATCAATAATATATTGCGCCTCATGTCAAACTCACCTTTTTTATACTACTGGCATATGAGCAAATACTCCGCACCGCATCCCTCGCGTTAGCGTACTCGATCGCCGAGTATTACTGCTCAGCATGGTTTTCAAGCGTACACCTGAACGCGGTCGACGTGGAGTTGAACTCAACCATGAGGATTTCAGCGGAACCGTCACATTCGTACCACTACCAGATCTCCCGGTGCTCGCAAACATAACGCCTCCATCTATTCGCCGGGAAGCTGCGGCGTCAAGGGAATATCACCGTAACGCTATTCAAGACCTGCCCATAAATGTAGACCTCAACAACCTGCCAACACCTCGTCTCAAATCAAGGAAGCCGTTCTGGGTTACTGGGGTACTCTCCATTGAACACTGTGCAGCCTAGAGGGCCAATGGAGGAATGCATGGAACAATTCCAATGTCCTAAATGGAGACCTAGTCTTAGAATCGACTCAACAACCTCTAGGAGCGTCACTTCCCCGCTAACAAAGGTCGGCCATCAGCTGTATCCGCACCGGAGAAGGGAGGTGCGACCATCTCTTCCTTAGATGGATATTTAAAAAATATTCATAATGTGATTGCGGAGCCCTTGATGAAACCCTGCAACACATCATGACACATTGCTCAAAGATAAAATTCTCTGATAGCCTCCACGACATATATCACCTGACATTTGAAGCACTATCCGCGATAACACACTTGAGTATATAGACATTTAAGACGCTACTCAACACCCATACGAAAGAAGGAGAAGACTGTTGGATAAAGCGGGTAAGTTTTTAAAATTTACAATACCCGATCATTTTTCTGCGTTATTTGCGTTTTTTGATATGAACAACAATCAATATAACGTTAGAAATGGAACTATGTTCTATATTCAACAACTGTATAATGAATTTTGCCTATTCCTAATGCAGGCCACAAAAAGATACAAATTCTAAAAATTCATAGCATGTTAATTATTGCAGATAGGAACATGCAAGAAAATTGCATTTCCTGAAGAAACTCTCAATGTTTTTGTTCTGTCCGCACAAGCTTTTCATGTTTGTTTCCATCTGCAATATTTAACAGTTTATACATTTTTAAAAACATGTTCACCTTTTTTTGTGGCCCACTCTATATTGGAGACGCAGCAATGTAAAAGAGGGGTATATACATCATACTCCTCCTTTACATAATACCGGTTTCCCCCAACAGATTACATGTTAGCATTGCAAGTTGGGAGTTTAGGAAGAGAGACGCTATGACTTACCTGGGCTGAGTGATGTTAATCCTGCCAGCTCCCTGTCCATAGACCATAACATTGTAACTGTGTGCCACTGCCATGTCACTTTTGTCTTCCCTCGGAATAACATTCTTTTGCTTAGATTGTTTGAAGGGAGTTGCCTCTCTCCATACACCTGGGGGAGCTTCTCCACTTCTATCCATATTTCTCCACTTCCTGAGAAAATGAAAGGGGAAAGGAAGAGAAGTAAAAGAGAGTAGCAATCAAGAGCAAAAAGAGGCGCAGATTAAATTTGTATGCAATTAATTGGATTACAAATGTCACCTGCCAACCTGGAAATTGTGTCAAAATCTGTGAAAACTCCTGAAGAATTTTTCTCGCATTAAATATGTAGACCTATGTTCAGGAATATTTTCAAAGACACATTGGAAATGTCTCAAATGCATTAAATTAATATCATAGTTGCCAACAAACAAATTCATCAGAATAGAATAGCTGCCATGGGAGATAATGCAAATTGTGAAAGAACAGCTAGGTTGAAGCTATCTTGCAAATTCTATCTTGCATTGAAGCTATCTTGGCATATTTGTTGGCAAGTAATGGCAAGAAATAAAATTGTTACGATGTCCAGCAACTTTCCTATCTCAGAACGTTCATAAGAGATATGCAATCGGTTCATCATGCGGTTTAATTGCAAAAAACGGTAGCTTCAAAGTCTGGTTATTTGGTTATATCCACAGCTTTGCGCGTGGAAAGACACAAATGCATGTATGGATGGACGTAGATAATTTGTATTAATTCAGTATTGAATATGCAGTGGTCCTTAACTTTTCGTCCATTAAATTTCTGAAAGTGAAAAATACTTGCTGAAAATTTTGGCAATTTTGTTAAGTATGAATAACATTTTTGAAGTGACGAGCATTCAAACAATAGAGAGTTTTGGTTACCCGTTTTTCAGGAGGACGGATACGCGAACTTATTACTTGGCGTTCAAATGCTAGACTTCAGAATGGCACTTTGGCTACGCGTTCCAGATCTGGAACGGCGAATAACATCCGCGGATTTCATCGCAGATGGTGTTCAAACGACCTCCAATTTAAGGACATTGTCGACTCAATGATACCAGGGTACACTCTGGTAAACCACAAATCACCAGATGTCAAAATGCATTTCCTCCTTATTTTGATCTGCAGCAACTAAATTTTATTTCCTTAAGAAGGGATTTCACTGTAGAAATGAACGTTTAAGTTTGCATACTGGGCTAACGTTCTTGATCCCTTTGTTTGATTCCTATTAGTTCATCATGGTCGCATGTAAACGTTGCAACCCTTGACTTCGACCAATTTTCCTCGTTCCCATTCTTCCATCATTCACTATCTCCAACAAAAGATATAGGGCTTCTTTTCTGTCCGTCTCTCAGGCAAAGTAACCGAATTCCATGTCCAGGTTGCATCCTACTCCTCTGATGGAGAAACCCTAATTGTAGATTTGAGATTGTTGTCCAGAAAGCCATCTCAAGCAAAGTGTTTCTATTTCCATTCTACATATCTATTGATCGGGAAACCCTTTGCTGCAGACGCGAGACAATTGTCTAGAAACTCAGCCTGGACATACTGTACCTTGAATTTCAGCTGCTATAAAATAGATGACTCACTGCGTTGAGGAACCACTGGTAGTATGCTGATGTGTTGAGCATCATCTTCAGCAAAGAGTAGCATACTTTGCATGCCCTCATTCCCATAATCAACTTCCGGGAAGAAGGTGCCTGGAAAACATACATATTGCGCTATTTTAGCCAAGAGTTGTATAGCGGGAAGACCACTGGGTGCAATCAGTTTTGAACCAGGCTATGACGCGAGTCATGTCACGAAACACTGAATGCATCGGGTGACGAAGCAGGAACCTGACCCGAGTTACGTGGCATGACCCGTTCTGTGAGATCGAGTCATTCCCATCGCGTCATCACCCTAATCATGGTGTCATTCATGGAAGGCTTCCATCGGCGAGTGTTCGTACCCAGATTCTGGGAAACATGCGAATGAAGTTGTGAATTACGCAAAAGGATGTCACGACGGCCGTTCCTTTCATTGACCTGCGACATTGACATATGAACTGCAACATCCCGAAATTGCTTTTGAGAAATGCATATACATTCTCAAATAGGCTTCTAGAAGATTCCAATTCCGTATCGAACATTTTTTATTGCTGGCCTAAAACTAACTTGAGTGGCACCACGATAGGAAGATAGGATAGGAAGCAAGAGAGTGTATCCCAACTCTGTCATTACGAAAATATGGGATTGATAATTTGATATTGAAGAGCATGTTGTACCACTGCACAATTTTCCCATGTCAACTTCCTCTGTTGTTGCTACTAACTCAGAAAAGCAGTTGAATTTCGCTTAAGAGCCTCTGAGCCGCCATACTGGTTAAATGACCCAATGAGGTCAGGAGGTTGTGTGAGATGTCATAGCAGGCTGCGCCCCGAGCCTTTGCTCTTCCGGTTAGATCGAGTTAAAACTGAATGCGCCCACAATTAACCAAGACTTTGTTCACTGGGGAATATCAAGTTAGCATGATTACTCCGAGGAGGGCTATATCATCAGCAAAGCACTGACTGAGTAAGATAACCATGAGCCCGATGAGCGACATCCAAATTCAGCATGCGCCCTTTTCAAATGAAGCAAGCGTCAGTTGCAGAAATTGCTATTGGCGAATGTGAAGGAGAAGTGAAGTATTTGCATGTGCCTTGATCATTATTTCCGCTAAGAAGAGTCTGTCTACAGCAGTATACGTGGACTATACCTGATGCATACTTTAGAGTAAATGAGTGTTCCCCAGCGTATAGAGCAGTTTCCTATTAATATCATAATTTAACTACAATCCCATAGCATTTATTAGCTGCGGGTGAGTGAGTGAGTGATTAGTGAGGTGCTTAAACTAATAACACATAAATTAGTATATGGAAATGGAGATAATCGAAATTCTTTCTGTCTGGGTAACATGAAACTTCTATTTCAGAAGTAACCCATGAATTCATTCCTTATATGAATTAGAAAATGAGAGTTGTGAGGAAACCGCTCCATTCTATGCTAGGCTTTGCTCTTGTCTGACCAAACTTGACCAAATTGTAAGATATTCCTCACGATTTCGAACCTCAAAGTCTTGAAACCCCTTCCCATTACGTATACATATTTTACAGGAAAATGTTCTTTGCTTTGACATACTCCTAATTACTTTACAGTTCAATCACGACTAAATTACTAGTAATTTAGTCTTTTTTGGATAGAGAAAAAAAATACTTAAGAAATGCGACTCACCAGATAATTTTTCCCCAATGAGGACAATGGGTCTTTTAAGGATATTTGCTCCTTGCTGGATTAGAGGAAGAACATCCTTGGCGTCGTTATACATGGGGATCTTCTGTATTAATTCCTACAAATATATAAATCCGTGTGTCTCAAATACCGGAGGATCTGCTAACTTGGGCACTATTGAGCAAGACTAAATAGACCCAAATATATATTTTTTCACATATATTTTCACCCTTTTATATCAAGCGTTTCATATTGCGTACACATGCTATCGCGTCATTTCTATCATTTTTCCTTACGTTTCCTTAACCTTTCGTGTTTTTATGTATCACATTCTACGAAATACGGTCTCTCCTTTCATACCTATCAAGCTGTAATAAGATTAATATTTTATAGCATGATGGGTTTATCTAGGGGAACCAAAAATTATGACATGAGCTGTAAAGGATTGATCTGAATATCCTGGTCGGTACAAGTGATACTTCAAAGTAGGCCTTTACTCTGAGAATGGTGGGTGAAGTCAATACAATGGAGTGGCCTAAAAAAGCATTTAATGAACCCCTTATTTGGTTCATTCCATGGGTAATTACCCTAATTGATTTTCCCATTGAATCGTATCCAGCTTGTATGCTGGAGGTTGGGTACTATCACTTATCGATGTATCAATCAACAAAATTTTCCCGGTTTTCCTCCGAAAAGTAGAGAGGTGTTAACTGTTACTAGCCTTAAAATGAAAAAAATGAGCAAAAATGAAAATGGTAGTCATAGAGAGCATTCCTACATTACAACCACCACTGAGGTATCGATCCTCCACCTTGCAGATATTATTTCTCCCTCGAGGCTTCGTTATCTGCTCCCAAAATCCACCAAAATTTCTCCTATATATTCAAATTATGAAGTTAACTTTCAATTGCAAAAATGTATTAATATTAGACCATTTACAGACAGATGATTTGCTTTTTTATTTGCTACAGGAGAGCGCAAAACTATTGGTACGTTTCTCTTGCATAATCAGGTGAATATTTGATTTACGAACATATTGGCATATTTCCCTCGCTACCTCCATATTATTGCATTCACAATCCCTTCTCCTTCTACGAAAGTGATGAGAGAAAGGAGAGAAACATAGTGTCAAACCTCGAAGAGAGGAAGATGCAGGAGTGATCCAGTGAGAATAACGGAAAGGGACTCCAATAGCCCCATCCCACTGTGAATTTCCAGGGCCACTGGAGGCCACTTCTTGGGGTCCCACTGCACCCCATTCTCCTTCAGGAGTTTCATGATATTTTCCCTCTTCTCATTATCAACCTGAGGCGCTTCCCCTGCCCATTCTGGAAAACGAGGGAGCATGTGGAATCAGTCTCATATTGTGCTGAAAAATATCACATAATGCTCCTCTGCATACGATCTACTTATTTTCCTTAAGAGTAAGTATGAATCAACTACATATTCTTAATTTCCATAACGAGCCTCTTTCCGCGTGTCCCAATTAGAACGTGAGTCTCGTGCGTCATAAGAATCCTACATTCTGATATAGAACAAGCATATTATACCGTCCGTACTAACAATGGAAATCATTAGAAGTATGAGCAGCATTCATTTTGCGAATATGGAGATTTTTCCAGAAAATGACCCGCTGCGAAATATGTAGCCTTTTCTTGAGGAACCGAAGTAAACATTCCAAGGTGTGCTAATTCCTAAGCGAAACAATGCAGTGGGTGAGAGTTTGATGATCATAGAGGGACGGCTGGGCGTGAAGCAGTACAAAGGCATTCCAGTTCCAGTGGTCAAATTTTTGTCATTTTCGTTGCCCTTCAGGCTCCAATTCAATTAAAAACATTTTGCATGCTGATTTCCAAAACTTAAGAAGAAAGAATACATTTTCACATACAGTACGTGTACGGTAAGGAATGGTAAAGAGGGTGGTTTTTGGACTAGTAACTTCACCGTTTCTTTCTTGCTTATCCCACTGCTCTCCTGCTGCGTGGGCGGTAACCTTACCATTCCCTTAGGTGTGCATCTATACACACAGCATTTGAAGGTAATTTAGCAAGGCAATGAGGGCGATTTTTGGACCAGTAACTTCACTGTCATCTTACATTGTTATTTTACCTTCAAAAGGTGTCCATGTTATTCCATCTTTATACAGAAAAGAAGGTTAATGTAGTGATTTCCCGCACTTGGTAGCACTGATGCTAAGAAAGAACGAAAGCATATGGGTTTATTCCTTAAATTTATTACATGGAAAACTTAGGATAACTCAGAACCCGACTAGCAGGAAAAACCTTTTACTCTAGAAAACGGGTCAGGAACCCATGGGTCATGAGCCAAATTTGGCTCATGGACCAAAAAGTTTGGTTCATTGAGTTATGGCTGAAAATCATGGTTGTTCCGAATTTTTTTTTTCATGTATCAAAGAATGCGTATGTCTGTTGCCAACTTGAGGAAATAATTGTTTTCAGAAAATCGTTCACTCACAAGCACCTAGCTCTATCTTAATAATGTATCACAAGGCCAAAAAGGTTCCCCAGCCCCGCTCTAGAACATTACTTCTGCAATTTCATTCAAGAACACCTATTTAATTCGAACTAAATTCAGTTTTCTTTTGCTGGATGAATTGGTCTATCTTTAATTGTGAACATGTTTTCATCATTCTTGAAGAGGTCTCTTCAAGTGATCCAGACATCACCACCACAAGAAGATTCCCAAGAGCTTGATACAAATATATGGGAATCAAACATCTCTCTAAGTATATCTCTCTAAGTATATTGCGGAAACACTAACATGGAATACAAAATACACTGACGATTATATTTAATAGACCACACCCGCGTCCCGCGGGATCCGCTACGCTGGTAACAACGTTACAAGAAATATCAATAACTCAGGTCTAGTTTGTAATTAGCAGTAAGAGAAAATAACTTAGTAAAGGGATAACGTTCGACTTTGAAAGTGCCACACTTTGGATGAATAATAAGGAACGGCATCAGGGAACCCTCAACTGGATGTATGCAAATTCTCAGTCATACCCGCCTTGTAGCATTGAAGTGAGGCACGTAGTTGAAGTTTTGAACACCTAGGCTTTGGATAAAATGGATGATTTTAAGTTGGCACGGGATGCGAATGAACTCAATTGGATCGATCTGACACGCGGATTTGGCGGGCAGCTCGGTTGGTAATCAAGTGTCTTGTTTGGAGAAGGCGAATACGCTATCAGAGGATCTTTTTCTCCACCTGCTTACAGTGGCTGGCGGAACGTTGTGACCAATGGTGGAGTGGACTACCCGCAGAATGTTGTAGGATATATATCACGTGAAAATTGTATATGAATATGTTACAGGGATATATGTTTCAGTCGAAAGAATTGAGGTATGAGTGTAATATATAGACGATCGTGACTGACTGACGCTAATTCTAACCATGTTATAGAAGGGTTAGAAATCTGAAACTTGGTACACATGTACCTTTTCGGATGCAGAGTTCAGAAAAAATCCGACTTTGGAGATGCCCTGGGGGTACACATTTTTGGGGGGAAACATTTTTCTTAAATATATTTTGTGACAGATAAGGTAGGCATTCAGAGAAAACACTTGATGTGCTGGGTTCAGTGGTATAGTAGGAGCGTCTCTGACTGACACGCAATATGTCCGGGTTCGACTCCCGGCCAATCCCCGGCTTCTCTTGACTTCCAAGTCCGTTTACTCATTCTCCCTCCACAACTTTATTTTTGCTTGAGTAAAACGGAGAGACATGGAAAGCTGAAACCTAACATGGACGTGCCTAGTGAAACGAAGCGTTCAAGAAAAGTGTGAAATTTTAGATCCATGCCCTGGTGGGATTTTTTTGGGGCCGACGTTTTCAAGCATTTTTTGTCCTGGAGTGTTGAGCTAGTGTGGAAAAATGAAACTTAATACATAACTACTTATTGGGATGCTGAAGAAAAATTCGGACTTTGGAAGTAAATGCCCTGGGGGCAGAAATTTCAAAGGGAGATGTTTGCAAATAATTTTTTATATTAGGTAAACTGATGAACTTGGAAAGCTGAAACTTTCCATGAATGTTACTACTGAGACAAGTAGTTAAAGAAAAATGTTAAGTCTCGATACATCCCCTGGGGGAATTTTTTCAAGGGGGCGATGTTTTGAAAAAAAGGTTTTTGTCGGGGTAAATTGGACAGAAATGGAAAGGTGAAACTTGGCACACATATAAGTGACATGATATTATTGAGCTGAGGGAGTATTCAACTTTCATGCTGTATCCCCTCCTAGCTTAGTTTTTGGGTGGGTCGGATTTTCCAACCCTGTTTCTTCACCAGCGAAAAGGGCAAACGAATAATATTAAAACTTTGTGGGCATGTAGTTCACTGAGGATGGATTTCGGTGAAAAAAAAAGAAAAAAAAGAAAGGTACTTTTCAGTTAAAACGCCTCAGGGCACATATCTTGCAAACGGGGTATTTTCCCGAATTTTCTGATCTAGTAAAACAGAGGGCGCTAGAAAGTTTAAACTTGGCAAAAAATAACGTGTGGATAACTGAGGAAAAAAAATTATTTCATTATATTTAGACGATCGTGAGTAGCTGACTGACTGGCATAAGTAGTTATTCGCATGCTGAGTTGAGGAAAAATTATACTTTTAAAATATGTCCCCTTAGCGTAGATTGTAGGAGGGAAGTATTTCAAAATGTATTCTCCTTCCTTACAAAAAGGGGCATATGAAAAGATTTCAATGCACACTAGAAATCATAGAAGTAATGATTTTGATAAAAATGAAGACTTTTGTCCCTATATATCACGTATTTCAATGGGGACGTACTTTAAATACGTGTTTGCCATTTCGCAAAGAATAAATGAATTAATCACTACCCAAGGTAATGCAGCGCCGAAGGCGCGACCATAGCGTGTTTGTTTGCTCGAAGGGCAAAGTGTATACTCTTAATTTGTCGATCTAATGGTTACGTTCTACCCGGACATTCTGGAGCAGGGATGTTCGACGTCTTGTCCAGGTCTCGTCTGCTAGCTGTGCTCCTACCTTCCCGTGCAGGCACACTGTACTCGACTCAAGTTTGCTTACGCCCATTTGGTTTAGTCTTCGTTGTTCTGGTGAGGCCCTTCATGGCGCTGGCACGTTTTGCAGACCTTGAACATTTTATTCCCGAGTTCGATCAAGGGCCAAAGTGATAAAGTCAACCTATTCTGTGGAATGATGGGTCAGTTGGGTCAGTAAGGGTAGCGGTCTTTGACCGCGTTTATTTTCTAATCCAACTGAGCATCATCCTACAAAATAGGTTCACTTTCTCGCGCTTCCTGCCAAACATAGAATGAATGCCGCTCGCTTGGTCTGTGTTCATCCTGTCTTCTTTGAGGTTCGTTTGCTTTCATGAGGAAAACCTAAATGCACTGGTGAAACAGTATAAGTGTCTATCATCCAAGTGATTGAATTATTCTTTAGGGTTGAATACATGGCATAAGGCTTTCTATTTCAACGGTAATGGGAGCTCTCGCCCTTCCGTTCAGAGGGTCTACCCTTATGGTGAACGTGTTCGCGCACGCCACCTCATGAGTGCCTAGCCTGCAACCCACACTTTTAACATAACAATTACTATTTATTTCCTTATCTTTCTCACTGGTAAAATATGCACCAACGCATTTCACTCATCTAGAGCTTGTGATTGATATATATCATATTTACCGTTCGACGAGTGGTCCACTTCGTATTTCCCTTAAGGGTAATGTTTAATTAGCAGGAAAATAAGTTCAATGAGTAAGCAGATGTAAAGGACATCGTTGAGATCCAAGAGACTGCGTAGTCCGATCCAAGAGAGAGCACTTAAGACGTAGCTTAAGGGGAAAAAAACTAAGTAACTTTTTAATTAAATAATAAATTAATATATTCCTTTTTTTCGCAGGCCTACAGAGGACGTTGGCTATTTTTATGTAGATATATCGCACCCGCGTGCACGGGATCCACTTCCGGTGTAATACATTTTGAACAGACATAAGGAATTCTGAGTTGGGATGACTTCCGAAGTGGACTACCTGTAGAATGTTGCAATAGATATATAACATGAAAATACTGTATGAATATGTTACAGGAATATACGTTTCAGCCGAGAGAGTTGAGCTATGAGTGTGTCATATTAATGTGCTTATGGAATGGTTATGTTTTACTTGGGCATTCAAGAGCAGGGATGTTCGGCGCCCCGCCCAGGCCATTGCGTCTGCTAGCTATGCTACGTCTTTCCCAGGCATTACCATTGTACTCGAGTTAGGTTTTCTTACGCTCTTCTGGTCTATTCTTCGTTGTCCTAGTGAGGCCCTTCATAGCGCTGGCACGGTTAGTAGACCTCAAATATTTTCCCTCCAGTTCGGTCAAAGGCTAAAAATCAAGACTTTCGTCCCTATATGTCACGTATTTCAACGGAGACTTACTTAAAATACGTGTTTGCCATTTCGCAAAGAATAAATGAATTGATCTCTTTCCAAGGGAATGGAGCGCCGAAGGCGCGACCATAGCGAGTTTGTCGAAAGGCAAACAAACTCGCTAGTATGGACATACGCCCCGCCGCGGCGGGGCGTATGTCCATACTACATATGTGTGTCCATATCACAGTGGTACATATGTCCGAAATTCTTGGACAAAAGTCAAATTTTGTGAATGGAGGAATGAAAATTTTTTTGTCGTTAAAAGTTACGGATTGAAGTCCTTGTCCTGCATCGATATTTCTCCAGGCCTTCCCCTGGTCCTTTATTAGCCTTTACCTGGTGCAAAGGTCAATAATTTGCACTTTTCTTAAAATATAGAGATTTAATCCCAAATTGTGACAAAAGTTTGTCATGAAATACGACTGTTCTTGTCGCTGTTTTTTCATCAAGTGCGATCTGAAGGTGTACCCGAAGGTGAGTCTTGCTTCTTGTATGTATAGTTTTACTCCTGATGTATATGCATAACTCATGTTATTTAATACATCCTGTGTAGTCGATTGATGAACTACTTCTAATGACGAGGTAAATTTATCGAGTGAATTTGAAATACTTCTCAAGATTTCTCAGAGAATTCCTTATAGGCCAATTATTATCTATTAATGAAGAACAAAATCAGCCCAAAATCTCCTGCGCCCAGCTGCGCCTAAAGTGAGGAAAATTTTTTGAAGAACTCTTCCAGCCAATTGACATCGTTGTCTGAAAACCTCTCGGCCTTTCTGGAAGACTTAGCCTGAAGAACCAAGGCAAGTCTTCTGAAGCTCGGCACTTTTTAATAATTGACATGGCCCTTATTCATGAAAATCCTGGCTTATTTTGTATTTGGCTTGAATGAGCTTGACCAACACAGGAATGACACTTAAGTCAGCAGGGTCTGCTCGGTTCATCTGCCTCGTGATGTTGTAGAGGTCCTTTCGGGTCAAAGGCATTGGCATCTATCCTGGAGAAATTGCGAGATAAAAAATCTGAAAATTTTTCCTCACTTTAGGCGCAGTTGGGCGCAGGAGATTTTGGGCTGATTTTGTTCTTCATTAATAATAGATAATCATTGGCCTATAAGGAATTCACTGAGAAATCTTGAGAAGTATTTCAAATTCACTCGATAAATTTACCTCTTCATTAGAAGTAGTTCATCAATCGACTGCACAGGATCTATTAAATAACATGAGTTATGCATATTACATCAGGAGTAAAACTATACATACAACAAGCAAGACTCACCTACAGGTACACCTTCAGATCGCACTTGATAAGTAGTTCATCAATCGACTGCACAGGATCTATTAAATAACATGAGTTATGCTTATTACATCAGGAGTAAAACTATACATACAACAAGCAAGACTCACCTACAGGTACACCTTCAGATCGCACTTGATTAAAAAACAGCGACAAGAACAGTCGTATTTCATGACAAACTTTTGTCACAATTTCGCATTAAATCTCTATATTTTAAGAAAAGTTCAAATCCTTGACCTTTGCACCACGTAAAGGCTTATAAAGGACCAGAGGAAGGCCTGGAGAAATATCGAAGCAGGACAAGGACTTCAATCCGTAACTTTTAATGACAAACAAATTTTCATTCCTCCATTCACAAAATTTGACTTTTGTCCAAGAATTTCGGACATTCGTACCACTGTGCACTGGTGGAAATAGTGTACAGTATGCAACAGGAAGAATTTCTGGGGTTTGGTGACCCATAAAATCTGACCGTGGTCCAGAATGCATGGTAGCAAAATCTGGGAAGTCAACAATGAACTCAATTATGAGGCTTCTGCTACCATCAACTTGACATTTTCTAAACATGCAACCGAATTCCACACAGAAGGGAAGAAAAACTCTCAACATCATTGGGAAGAGCAAAAACTTTCTTCAAGGGAAAAAAATCACCAAATTCACTGTAATATGATCCTTTAGGATCAGGGAACAGGATGCATTCCATCCTCATGGGACTTTCTTGAGGTTTCCTTGTTTGGGATCAAGGCCATGGTAACGAAGACAGACGAGAGCAGCTGCTTGCTCTGCATATCTCCTGCTCTTCTCACTTAATCCACAAAGGAGAAAAATCATGATTGATTCCATGAGACATGATTATAATGGATACATTTGGGGAATAACACATTATTGCAACACATTTCACTGAAGAATGTATAATGTGTTATGATATGCAATCTTTCATTTTGTGAGATGGAATGAGTGATGGTATATTGTTTCTTTCTTCTAAGGTTGCAATGGTTGTTACAGGAATCCATTCCTATAGCGATTTCAAATTCACTTGTTACCATTTTTGAAATTATTGATTCATACTCCTTTAAAAAATATTTTCATTGCAACATTCATTGACTCAATTTTAAAAAGTATACAGCTATCACTAAAAGGTTCATGTAAAAGGAACAGAGCCTTAAAATGAATGAAGTCATTCTGAATTCACTACAGAAACAGTAAAAATAATCAGGCATCCTTGGCCAAAGCTGGTTCTAGCTGTACACCATGGCAATGTTGTCAGTGAGTGACTATTGAAATTTCTGAAAATTTTCTACTGAAGATGAGGAAGGGCCACAAATGGGAAGATATTTAACTTGGAAATACACAGTTTACTCATTGGTGAAGATGTGCAACAATAGGTCTTGGCATGGGCTGGGCCTTAGCCATCCAAAAGGCATACTTAAAGAGCTATTTGAAATGAAGAGAATGGTGCAAGTTTCAGCAATTTCAGTGAAGTGGTTGAGGAGATAATGGCTTTCGAAGTGGAATGAGTCAGCTGTGACCTCTTAATGCTACTTTTTGGAAATGCGGTTCACCTGAGGACCTCAGTGAGGGGCTTCAGAGGCCTTCCTTGAGGTCCTCTACAACAATTACAGAACAGAATTTCCATCCAGGGGGGGGTCAATTTTTTGATGTCCATAGTATCTCACGTATGTCTGGGAAAGGCAACAAGAGACTACCAGGATTTCCTCCTTGACCTATTCCATTCCAAACAGGCTATAAAGTCACAAAAAAGGAGTTGTAATGGTAATGAGCTACTTCAAAAGGAAAAATAACTGATAATGGTACCTAGTTTCTGCAGGGTAAGGCAAAAAAAAGCACAAATGACTTTCTGCTTATATATTTAAGTGCTCTGCCTGCATATCATCCAAGTTACATTGAAATTCTCCTTCATTGCAATTCATTCTTTGGGCTGGCCTTTTCAAGCATATGATTTTTATGAGCCTCTATATCCAAAGTTCCTTTCCACCTTTCCTTTTCTTGATCAATGATTTAATAAGCATCATAAGCAGAGAATCCACTCAATGCTTATTCAAATTTTTCCTTGGATTATGTTGGAGAAAGAGGCAGGTGCAGTCAAGTCATTTGGAAGGGACCCATTCTCCTACCCATTTTCAATATTCAATTTAAAAAAATACTTGCTCATAGCCTTGTTGCTGTTGAATGAATTTATAATTACATTTCTATCATACATTGGGAATTTATCATTATATATGCATTGCAAGTTTTGTGAAAATAGCTTTAGTGAGAGCAGAGGTATATACCTGTACAGGGTGATCCATTTAAGTGAGGGAGTAATAAAAACTGAAAAGTCTAATTCCTATTTCAAGACAATTTGGATTGGCTTCATTAAAGTCTGTAGCTGTCTGCCCAGTGGTGTGAACCACACATCAAAATGATTTGCAGCCTTTCATCTTCAGATAAATGCATTATCTTCACTTAACCTTCACAAATCTGAATCTGAATAAAAAGAAAATATTGATTATTCCATATGGTTCCATTTCAATAGACCACCCTGTAGATTAAAAGTCATATGTCTTTTTTTTTTGCCATACTCTGTATTCTGCCAAATTAACCTAGTAGTTACTAGTACCTTTCAAAATGTAACATGCCCAACCTTGGTAACAAGAGAGGTCAAGGAAATGAATAGTAGGGAGGATTTCTTACCCTGGGAGAGATGTAAATTTCATCCCATTGAGTGTGACAATGGAGCGAAAGATCTTTTCTTCTTGCCTTGTCTCATAGATGGGTTGGTCCCAGGACTTCCTGCAACTGTGAAGGAGAAGTACAGACTTGGGAAGCTCAGTGTCTTTGTAATGCTTCCTTAGGAATGTGGCAGGCATTTCTATGACTCTGTTCCTACATGAACCCATTTCTGCCATTGCTCCTGCAACAGAGCCCTGGTGTAATTGAGCACCAAACTCCTTCTGCTTCTCTTTCCAGTATTCATCTAATTCCCACACAGCACTGCATTCACAGAAAAAAAAAAACAGAAATACAAAACTTTTCCCTTTCAAAATCATTGCAAGTAGGAAGGAAAGGAAAAATGGAGGGGACAAACCAGATTTCCTCCAATGTTTGAGCTCCAAGGAAGGTACGTCCCCATGATGTTTCACTCTGGAGTTCTCCAATCATGTTCTGGATTACATATTTCACATTGGTTGCTTGGCTGTCAAAATCCACACAGAGACGAAGATAGTCTCGAATGACATCATGAAGTGGTAGCATCCCATCCTTTCTGAAGATGCTGCAGTTCCACATGGCTGCCCTGGCAAGCATGACACTAGATGTCCCACAGACTTCTCGGAACTTCTCAATATCTTCAAAGCACTTGATCTCCTTTGATCCACCACTGGATATATCATAATCAAACACTGAGCATGACTAAGACTGGCCCCTCAAAAAAGAAGCATCATATCAGACATGTTTGGGACATATCCCACAGTAAATTTGATGCACAACAGAAAGGTATTCCATGCGGCAAAAAATAAACATTTTAAGATAATATCCTTGATAAAAAGGATCTAAAATCACAAAATATAAATTCCCGAATAGGATCATCCTCTTCCATACTGATATCTACATCTAATAGATAATTTGAGAAAATTATAGTACAGTCTGGCACATTAGTAAGCTAGACAGTCTTTTTGGATGTCTCAGTTGAAAAAGAGGAAACATCCATAGTAGCATATAACATTGAAACAACATTGAATCAATGTTGTTTCAATGTTATATGCTACTAGGGATGTTGAGTATATCCACTGGTATTATGTGAACACAGGATTGGCATTGGTACACATTTTGGATGGGAGCTAAAAAATAGCCACATAACGGCAAGATTCTTAATTAGCCTCATTTTTCATGCAGAAATTTTTCCCTCCATATTTCAGACTGAATCTTCTTCACTCTCCAGTGGATAGACATAATGCAAATAAATATGATCAAGGGTTTGGAAACTTTGTATTAGGTCGTTAGGTATGAAATGTCCGATTTTCGGTTACTTAACAAGTGATCGCGATTGTGAATACAGAAATTCTTAAAATTATATCGGAGCTATACAGAGGTAGAAGAGGTAAGAGGTGCTTAAGAAAACATAATTTCCAGTTAATTCTATTGTACTGTTATTTTGTTTTTGTAGGTACTTCAAAATGGTTTCTTCACAAGAAATTCGTGTTCTTTTTTTACATGAGTATAAATTGAACCATAGTGCATCGCAGGCAGCAAGAAACATTAATGCTGCTTTTGGAGAAGGAAGTGCTAACAAACTGACTATTCGCAGGTGGTATGAAAAATTCACCAAAGGTGATGAAAGTCTTCAAAATGAGCCCAGGGGAAGACAGCAAAAACTCATAGATGACAAGGAATTGAGAGTTGTAGTGGAGGCTGACCCAACGAAAACCGTAAGGAGTCTTGCAGAGGAGTTAGGGGTGTCCACTTACACAATAAGTCAGCACCTTGCTTCAATTGGAAAGGTGAAAAAGTTGGATAAGTTGGTTCCTCATGAATTGTCTGATCAACAAAAACTTCACAGATTTGAGGCGAGTTCTTCACTCCTCATGAGGAACTCAAACGATCCATTTTTGAAACGAATCGTCACTGTGGTGAAAAATGGATCTTGTATGATAACAGGAAAAGATCAGCACAATGGCTAGACAAAGATCAAGCCCCAAAACATGCGGAAAAACCATCTTTACACCCGAAGAAGGTAACAGTGATGGTATGGAGGACATCAGAAGGGATAGTGCATTATTCCTTCCTCCAACCGGTCAGACTATAACTGCTATGGTATATTGTGAGCAAATTGAGGAAATGCATGAGCAGTTATGTATTAAGCAGCCAGCATTGGTCAACAGGTACGGGCCTATCCTATTGCACGATAACACTAGACCTCACACTTCGCAAGTCACTGTGCAAAAATTAAGGGAATTAGTCTACGAAGTTTTGCCTCATCCACTGTATTTGCCCGACCTTTCACCGACTGATTATCACCTTTTTCAGGGTTTGGAGCACTTCCTTCGAAACAAGCAGTATAAAAATCAAACAAGTGCAGAAAGGGGCTTTGAGGACTTCATCGCATCCAGAAAAAAGGAATTCTTCAAAAAAGGGATATTCAACCTTCCATTACATTAGCAAAAGACAGTTGATTCTAATGGATCATATTTTGACTAATAAATTGTGTTTTCATTATGTGTACAGTGTTTTACTATAATCCACAAAAACCAGACATTTCATACCTAACGACCTAATATTAAAGGCTTTTCTTACTGGAAAGGCAACATGCCATATCCCACAGGACAGAGCAAATGGGTGTTAGGAGAGAATAGCTGCATACACAGAGGTCCATAATTAGGAGTCAATTTTGAAATTTATGTTTTCTAAGTGAGAGCATAGGTATTCAGGAAATTTTAATGCCACACACTCCTGTCATTGTTAATGCAAAAAACCAGTAGTTATTATTCAAGAGAACCCTGAGGTAAGAGTTATTTTTAATTTTCCATCAGAAATCTGTTGGCTGCATTGCAAAGATCCTCTCTCAAGTGTGGTTATCATGTGAGCTTGGCACTTTCCTAACATGGCCTGGTTTACACAGATCTGCTTTTACTTTTATGAAAAGAGAAATATTTGATTGTGGCATACACATATAAAGGGTGGTGAAAAAGTCAATGCATTTTTGACTAGCTACACTTTCCTTATGTAATTCTCAACAAACTTAACAAACAAAACAGAAACTGGTCATACTTGTTTCAGTAATTGATACATCAGTAATTGGTCATTTGACCACCAACAGCAGCTGCAGCCTTGATCCTCCAAGGGAAAGATTCAAGTTAGTTTTCCAGCATGGCCAGTGGGATTGAATTCCACTTTTCAGTGGGTCAAGTCACCAAATCTTCCCTGTTTCAGGAGCGAGGAGCTTCGAGGACGGAATCTTGACGTATGGTCCATGTGTGCTCTATCAGTGAAAAGTCCAATGATGCACCAGGCCAGATTCCTTTGGACCAGACATTCTGAATTTCCTCCCTCAGCTGCAGCAGGTTCTGGCCAGAATTGTGGTCTGGGGCCCCATCCTGCAGGAAAGTGACCTTCCTTGTTCTTCCAGTCCAGACTTCCTGTCTACTTTGATGCCCTGAAGGATCAGAAGCTGTTTCTGAACCCAAAGAAGGTCACCTTCCAGCAGGATGGGGCCCCAGGCTACAGTTCTGGCCAGAACCTGCAGCTGTTGAGGCTGAAGTTCAGAATGCCAAAGGAATTTGGCCTGGTGCATCATTGGACTTATCACTGATAGAGCACACATGGGCAATACTATAAGATTCCATCCTCGAAGCTCCTCGCATCCAAAACAGGGAAGATTTGGCGACTCGACTCACCGAAAAGTGGAATTCAATCCCGCTGGCCACGCTGGAAAACCTCATCAAATCCTTCCCTAGGAGGATCAAGGCTGCAGCTGCTGTTGGTGGTCAAATGACCAATTACTGATGTATCAATTACTGAAACAAGTATGACCAGTTTCTGTTTCGTTTGTTGAGAATTACACAAGGAAAGTGTAGCTAGTCAAAAATGCATAGAGACTTTTGCACCACCCAGCATTCAATCGGTATTGCTGCAAACTCATCCCAACTCCATCAAAAAAGGAGGTAACACGAAAATGGTAAGGTTTGGGTGTCTCAGGAATGCAAAAGTAAAACTTATGGCTTTGCATGTTATTCTCATACCCTGAAGTATTGTTCCCTTGCCTCTGGGGTATGATTCTGAAGAATTCTAATATTGTTTTGTACCTAAGTACTTTGGACTCCCATATTATTATACTTTTCATTTTGCATCAATTTTCTTGACTGTCCATCCCAACTTGATGGTGTCACAATAGAAGCAGGCTCAGGAGCATCCTCCAATGTTCCTGATCCTAGAGAGCAGACTTAAGAGCTCAGCTGGGGGGAATGCCAACCCTCTCATGACAGTCTCACAAAGTATTCATTCCATCTTGTTCAAGGTCTACTGACTGGTGTTCTGCCAATCACCCTGGATCAAGACTCTTTTTGGGAAGTCTCTCTGAGGGAATGTAGCAGGTATTCAAACCCATAGATGAGATCTATTTTTCCAGAGAAGTAGCTATTCAATCTGAAGGCTTTCACATACATATGGTGGCATTTGAAACCCTATCCTAGCATGTGAAACTAACCATCTGGTAAAAGAATCTCACTTCAGCAACTTGTTACCATTATGTGATTCCTTAGTCATCAATGAGTCAAGAATCAAGGCCATAAGTAAGGGTGGAGAGATAAGCACTATTGAAAAGCAAAACATTATGCCTCATGGAAAATTTCCAATTTGGTAACCATTACCCACCAGAGGATGGATGGATGAATTTGTTTGCTTTGATTCTGCATCATAAACACAAAGATAAATGAAACATAAATGAATACAGTCAATAATCATTTCAAGCAGGCTAGAAAGAAAGGAAGTCATCTCCATGTAAGGCTTTGATAAAAAAAAAAGTATCTCTGATAGGACTCCAGCCAAATTCTTGGAAGAATCATACAGATATGTGTGCAGTAGTTGTGGCTACAAAGGCATCTACTTACTTTGGGATGCAGAGGATGTTCCTTATCATTTTGTATCTTGTTGAGGAGTTTATATCCTTAATACTTCACTCTTTGGCAAATGAGTTTCAATAGCTGCTGTTTGTTGGCTGCTGAGGTGAGCAAGATGATTTATTATCTAATTGAAGAGTTTGATACTCATCAGTGAAAGATGTCCACCATATTGGTAAGGAGAATGTCAGAATTAGTAAAATGCAGGTCTCAATGAACATTTTGATAGGAGTTAGAGATCCTGAAATGGACTTGAGCAAGTTGACATCAAAGAAAGAACAGAAGCTTTTTTTTTTATTTCTTCTACCTGTCCTTCAAAGGAAAGTTTGTTGTCTTGTTGTATCCCAAGGTCCTGACCAAAAGAAGATGGTTTAATTTGCTTCCCATTGATGGACATGACCATGCCTATTATTTTCAGAAGCTGTGGTTGTTTTATACCTTTATTGTGAACCACAAGCTTGACATACTTGTCTTCATTAACACGTTGACGACCAGCCTATTTTTGCTTGTCCGCCGCGTGGGACCACGCGCATTTTTTTTGTAAAAAAATGCGTCCTGCCATCAGGTCGCATGGTCCCAGAAAACATTTTTTTTGCCGAGTTTTTTTTAAATGTTGAATTTTTTGGAATTTTTATCAGTAATTACGAAATCATAATCTTCTGGAACGTTCTCAACAGTTCCAGAGGGTATTCATTGAAAAAAAATCTGCATCCTGGCATCAGGACGCATTGTCGCCAACATGTTAAGAAGAGATCCTGCATAACTGCAGAAGCCTTGAATATGCAGTCACTAATCTCACTGTCATATTGTTCATTGCTCAAAACCATGATCCTAAGGTACTTGAACTTCTCTGCCTGTGGGGGTCCCCTGACATGTTAGACCCATGGATAGGATTTCTCAAGAGAACTACAACAAGATTCAGACACAGTGAGTTTCATTTCAGCCACAGTGCATTCAATTCAATTGATCCAGCACACTCTGAAGTTCCTGTATAAACTGGACCAAAAGGACCATCATAAAAAATTGGAGATGGTGTCTGCAATAGCCCCAAGAGATAAATGCGAGAAAAAAACAAGGACAGAAATGGAGAGCCTTACTTGGCAATGATTGGTATTTTAAGCTGCTGAGATATCCTGGAGATAACATCATTGCGATTGGGATACTGAGGACGCTCCTTTTTTGTTCGACCATGTATAGCAAGTGCAACTACTCCTGTGTTCTCAATGATTCGACACAGAGCCAATGTATCTTCAAGATCCTCCAGGACACGAATCTTGCAACTGATGGCCTTTCTTGGAATGTTCTTGACCAGTGTTTCCAAAATTTCCTTTACTGTGTCAGGTTTATAGAGGAGTGCAGCTCCCATACCACCTTTCAATGAGAACTCCTTGGGGCAGCCCATATTGATGTCTATCCCATCCACATCCCCTTCCCTGTTCCAGACAAGGCATGTAAGAAAGATTACAAATGGAGAGAGCATAAAGGTTTTTCTCATATAAGATAATTTAATCAGTGAGCATACATTTTCTTGGCCACTTGGAGGGCCCGTTGTGGATCAGAGGTCCCAACCTGGAGAACGACTTGATGCCGCTCCAACTTGGGATGAGTCCGAAAGATCACAGTCCCATCTGTTTCATCCACATAATCCACTGTCCCCAATATCTCTGAGACAATCACCATTGAGGAATATAAGGAAAGATTGCAAGAAAAGGGAGATAAGGACAGATTAAATGATAAAAATACGATTCTCAACACGTCGAGATCGCAGCAGCTTCCAGTCAATGAGTTCTTCACTGTAGACAATGTCTGCACCATACTGCAGTGCAAGAAGACGCATTGGGAGAGTCCCAATACGAACCATTGGAGCCAATATCACCTTTCCTCCATATTCTAACTTCTTACTTCCATCTGCACCTTCACATTTCACAATCTCATTTCCCTCAGTGATAGGCATGTTATACCTCTCTCCATCATCTCACCCCCCTACAAAGGCAACATGGGAGGACTATTGAAAACTGAGGGATGAGTAAGGACACCCAGCATAAGCAAAATTACAGTGTTGGTCAGACAAGTATATCAGCCTTCTTGGCCTCATTTCAGTGCCAGATGTTGGGGGCAATCAAACCCCAAATCTAGGGCAAGAATGAAAAGGAATCAAAATGGGACTCAGGACCATTACATGAATTGCAAGGTTGCTCTATATGCAATAAATTCCTCATTAGTTCAAGCCATAATACAAAGGGAGGATGAAAACAAGTGGAACAGAGAACACACCATGGCTAGGGAGGCATGGATTCAGTATCAGTTGATACCAAGTGGATCAGCCAGGATCAGTATTAGCTAATATCAATATGGTCAATCCGATCTGATTCTTCCCTGCCACACACCATAAGTAATGCACAGCTTGTAGATTTTTGGAACATCTCATGAAAAAAGAACCACTTCAAGACATATAGGACCTCAAGTTCATCATAGTTCTTGTGTTAATTCCAACTAATTGACAATGAGCTTGTACATAGTCAAAGTGGAATATGAGATACTTGGAAAGAGGAATGCAATAATGAAATTGGTCAGGGTCATTCATTCCATTATCTTCCCCCCCTTCCATCCAGTCTTCCTGTGCTGATGGGTTTGCACAAGCACACTTAGTGGTCATGTCCATCCTGCTTCTGGCTCTCCCCTCATAAGCACCAATCCCAGTTACGGTTGCTAGTTGAACTCCTTAAACCCTTTAATCCTTTGAGGAGTATGCTGTAAATATATGTTTTCAATATTTTTATAAAATTTCAATTTCAAGTTTTGTGTATATTACCCTTTTTGAGTTTGCTATTTTTTTTGTCCAACACATGCAACAATTGATAATTATCTACCAAATTATGGCTTAAAAAATTTCAATACATATTCAGTTAAGGGGCCTCAATGGATTTTTCTTTCAAAACATCCTATGAGCACAAAGATAACTCATTCATCAAAGGATAAGGACAATGGGTGCAGTATGTCCACTCCTTTCTGCACCCATCATCCTTTGAACGTAGTACCTACATTGGACAAGTTCTTGATCAGGCCCAGTGATGGTAGGGGAAGTTTAGGGCTGTATTCAAGAGGCTAATGTATTGGCTGACAAATGTCTCCATAGCTGAATAAGAAGTGCAGGACTATTGAGAGCTGGGTCAGTGGTACCCAAGGACTTATTATTTCCTCCCTTCTATGCCAAAGGTGGCATAAGGCATCCTAATTTAACACGTTGGCGACAATGCGTCCTGATGCCAGGATGCAGATTTTTCTTTCAATGAATACCCTCTGGAACTGTTGAGAACGTTCCAGAAGATTATGATTTTGTAATTACTGATAAAAATTCCAAAAGATTCAACATTTAAAAAAAAACTCGGCAAAAAAAAATGTTTTTCTGGGACCATGTGTCCTGATGGCAGGACGCATTTTTTGACAAAAAAAATGCGTGTGGTCCCACGCGGCGGACAAGCAAAAATAGGCTGTTCCTCAACGTGTTAAGGAATTCTTTCGAGGGGCGTTCTTTAAAAAAAATTGTCGTAGCGAATTGGACCGAAATGGAAAGGTGAAACTTGACACACGCCCTTCGGGCAAACAAACTTGCTGCGGTCGCGTCTTCGGCGCTCCATTACCTTGGTTTATGATTAATTCATCCATTTTTTGCGAAATAGGAAACACGTATTTTAAGTACGTCACGATTTAAATACATGCCTTTGGGGGACGAAAGTCTTGGTTTTTGTCCAAATCATTACTTCTATGAATTCACGTGCCTAGCTTGAAATCTTTTCATGTGTCCCTTTTTGTAAGGGCGCAGAATACATTTTGAAATACTTCCCTACTATACTTTACACCAAGGGGACATATTTCAAATGTAGGATTTTTCCAGTACTCAGCAATGAAACAGGTTTTCTGAGGAAAGTTTACATTTTCTGTCTTTGTTTCGTTTGATCAAAAAAAAATTCAGTAAATTGGTACCGAAAAAAATTGCTCTGATGGGTTTTAACGGAAATTATATTTCATCCGAAATGTAGACGTAGGGAGATCCATTCCACCCAGTTCAGACTTATACGTTTCCCCTTTTTGCTGGCGGAGAAAATGTATTGGGAAAATTGACACACCCAAAAGCTGTGCTGTGAGGACACGCGCACCAAAAGTTGAATTTTTCCTTAAATCAACTTAACGTCCCTTATGCGTGCGCCGGCTGCTACTTTTTTTATTTCTGCTCGATTCACTGGAATATGAAACATTCTGTGAAAAAGTTACGTCCCCATGAAATATGCCCCCCCCCTCCCCCCCAAAAAAAATATCTTGGAAATTGGAAATTTGACATTTGATATTTGAGCTCAGTGCGTCAGCAGTCACGTCCTCAGCTTTACATATGTCTCCGTTTCAATGAAACAAAGAGAAATATTTGAAAAAATATTTTGCCCAAAAAGGTATGCCTCTATGGCATGTATCACCGAATATTTTTCCTGAACTCAGCATGCAAATAGGTAATCAGGTAGCCAGTCAGCTACTCACGATCCTCTATATATTATGAAAGCATAATTTTTTCATTACTCAGCTATCCATCAGGTTCTTCTTGGCAAAAATAAAACTTTCTACCGCACTCTGTTTTGCTGGATCGAGAAAATACGCCTTTTGCAATATACCACGTATGTGCTTCCAGTCGTTTTAATCGAAAAGTCCATTTCTTTTTTTTTTTATCGAAATCAATCCTCAGAGAACTACATGCCCACAAAGTTTTAAACATTAAACGTTAGCCCATTCTCTGGTGAAAAAACGTTTGGGAAAGCCGACACACCCAAAAGCTATGTCCGGAGGGGATGCTCCATGAAAGCTGAATACTCCCTCAGCTCAATAACACCATGTCACTTATACGTGTGTCAAGTTTCACCTTTCCATTTCGGTCCAATTCGCTACGACAATTTTTTTTCAAGAACGCCCCTCGAAAGAATTCCTTAAGAGATGTATCGAGACTCAACATTTTCCTTTAACTGCATGTCTCAGTAGTTACATTCATGCAAAGTTTCAGCTTTCCATGTTCCTCATTTTAACTGACGCATAAAAATTATTTTAAAAAATCTCCCTTTTAAATCTGTGCCTCCATGGCATTTACTTCCAAAGCCCGAATTTTCCTGCACGCAGCGTCCTAATTGGTAGTTATGTACCTAGTTTCATTTTTCCACACCAGATCAAAAAAATGAAACCTTCGGCCCCTAAAAGCATGCCCCCACAGGGTATGGATCTTAAATTTTACATTTTTCTTGAACTCATCGTGTTGGTAGACATGTCCATGACAAGTTTCAGATTTCCATGTCTCTCCGTTTTACAAAAGGAAAAATGTTGTTACGGTGGGGGAATGAGTAAACGCATAAGAGGTGGATTGAACGCGAAGGAACGGCCGGGAATGAACCCGGGACTCCTGATTTTTGGTCATGTGTGCTACCACTACACCACCGAACCCAGGACATCCAGTTAAGCCGCTCGATGCCATCCTAATCCGTCACAATATATATCTTTAAACAATTCTCCCCCCAAAATGTGTACCCCCAGGGCATGTATCTGCAAAGCCTGATTTTTTAAAACTCTTCATCGCAATAGGTACATGTGTACCAAGCTTTAGATTTCTAACTTCGCTAGAACATGGTTAGAATTAGCGTCAGTCAGTCACAATCGTATATATATATATTAGATTAGATAAATATCAGTTGGTCCAAAAATCCCAACCTATTTATCAGACTACGAGGCTTGAATTGGTTGGGTGTTGATACATGCAGCAGACAAATAATTTCTTTTTCAGTTGATGTGGAATCATCATCATATCATTGAATTTTGGTGGCATAATGACAAAAGTAGCGACCTCCATCAATAAAGTTTCTGCAACGTCATAATCCACATTTTAAGTTACACCAATTATATTTGTTGAATAAAATAGGAACCAAGTTAGCCGAAAGCTCACTGAATGCAGTACTTGCGAAAAAGCATCCAATCATGCAAGAAATTCCACTTCGCCATTTGCGTCTGTCCGTCTGTTCGTACACACCCTCCTCCGTGAATCACAGAATATAGGGAGTTCAAATATTTCAGTGTCTCTTCATCATCCGTAGGTTTATCTTCATCATGGGGCGAAAGTTGCCTCGACACAATGCGTTCCTTGTTTTGTGATATACTTAACGTTGCAATGGAGATGAACGTTGCTTATCACGTCGTTGGCATTCTATGTGCCATTGAATAGATATCGACACGTAGTGTGAAATTGTACATCCTTGATCCGATTAGTGCATAAAATCGAGAATAATAGGTGGGAAAATATAGGTTTTAAATTATTCAGCCGCAGCCTTGCTATCAGGTATTTCCGTGAAAAAAGTTTCAACAAGGAAAGTGTCATGGAAAACCAATGAACCGTTGGTGCGACTCATCCTCAGCGATTGCTGTAACGTATAACGAACATGTTGCATGGGCTTCGTGGAAACAAAAATAGATAATTTCCAAGTGGAGGTCATTCTTCCGCCAAATACTACTCAGTCGATACTTAGGTGTGTGAAAGTTCGCATATCTTTTAGCAAGTATTTAAATACAAGTAGTCGAATATGTTGAGTATAGAACTGTAGCGTGAACTGTGGAGCCCCTGTGGATATATTTTGTGCCTCGTCGTCCTAGTGGACCTGGAGACAAGATCGACAACCGCATTTCCAAGGTTCTTGCATTTCTGCGAGAAACCTTACTCGAACTGCTGTTGTATTGGCCTCTTTTAATTGGAATCATTATGAGAGAAAATGAAAACGTGTGTTTTTCCATTAGGGCATCACGAAGGAGCAGTGGTATAGAGTGCCTGACAATAATAGAAGAATATTTGGAGAAGAGGCGATGATGGGATTCTCAATTCGGACTCAAAAGGATATACAGGAAGTAGAAAATGTCTCAACTTTGGCTGCAGCTGACATAGACCCAAAATACATAACCTTCGTCATAGGAACAG